TTTAATTAAGTAGATTTATTCACCTAAAACGCCTAGCAGTCCAATTCTTAACATCTTTCGCATTTAAACATATACTCAACCTTGTGAGGGTTCACTTAGGCATGCTTTCTTAAAATGAGATTCTTTGAGACCACTTCGCAAATATTTGTGAATATTCTACAGCCTCCCTTTGCCAACATTATAATTATATTAAATGACACGCTGAATGACAGTGTGAAACTAATTTTTTGTATCATTGAATGACAGTTGTTTATATCTCGCTACATTTAGCTCTACAAAATTTCTTTGGAACTGTTCCAATCTGTTAAAAATATTTGATTCATTTAAAGCAGTACTGATTTCTTTAATGCATCGGGAGAGACTGGTATTGAGGAAATATATAAATATACCTCTCCCAATGTTCTTTTGATAGCTTTGTGAGGCAAAAAACCATAAAGCTACTAAAACCAACAAAATCAGAAACCTACCATTATCAAATAAATGAACTATGTTAATTTATATTTACTCTTATAGGCCTTGAGTGTATTTATTAAATATCGACAATTTTTTTTTTAAATTGTATATATTTGTACAAATTGATGTGTACTTAAAATGTATTAATATTATTAAGACTAATATATTCAAATTCATTCATTTAAAAAATAAATTGCAAACACTAAACTAAAAATGTATGACACAGTCAATTCATTAAACGCACATGCAAGTAATTTGTGACTGATAATACCCATATATAATCAAAAATACACAATTTGCTATTCTGTTCATAGTGTCAGACTATAGGTGTGACATTGAGAATGGTCAAGAATAGGGCTGCACTGTACTGCACTGTACTAGCAAAAATATCTTTCAGAGTTGAACTATAATGTATTCCAGTAATGTTTTTTGCAGTCAATGGCATGATTTGGTGGATTCAGAATTAGATTAATAATGCTTAGATGTCAAAAATATATTTGTTAAATAATTTTTTTTTAATAAATAAATAAATCATTAGTAACAAAATGTTTTCTAGCTGGAATATCCTAAATATTAAAATAAAACATACATAAACTGAAAAAACAAATAAAATTTATTTCTATTAAATAATAATAAACAGCCCTAATACTGATCGTTCAGTACAGGGTGTCCCACCATAAAGTAATAAATTTTAACAGCTTATAACTTACACCCTACGCTTTTTCATATCTGAAAGTCCCGTTCTTCCTCTTTTCAAAAATGTATAGATTGTAATTACTTAATTTATGTGAAGTAAATCAAGAATGAACACACTCAAAAAGGTCTTTTTCGTAAAATTTCGGGGGAAAATATACTTTTGCCAACTAGGTATGTCAGCAAAAACTTGTAAGAAGTTTACCGAAAACTACATGTTAATTTCTTTTTCCATTCTCGAGTTATAAGTTTTTAAAATGTGTGTAGTGGGACACCCTGTATTAAAATAAACATTATTAACTAAAAAACAAACAACATATTTCTATCAAATAATAAAACAGCACTGTTAATATTGGAATATTCTAAATGTTAAAATAAATTATACATTAACTAAAAAACAAATATAATAAATTTCTGTCAAACAAAAAACAACCTTCTTGATACAGGAAGATCATATTAAAATATTTCTAACATAAAATAATCAAAAAATAACACTCTTAATAAAAAAACAGTTTCTCTTAATATTATTTGGCTTGAAAGTTATCTTTGAACCATTCAAACATTTCTTTTTCAGATTAATTTTTTCTTCATGGCGGTCTTGTTTTTTTTGTTCGATCCAGGCTGGAGTTACTTTAACTTTTTTTGTTGTCATCTTCGAACAATCTTTGAACCCATCAGTATCTAAAAATTCTTTATTTTATAAATACAATTATTTAATCTTAACAGAAATATGGAACTAATAATTTGAATGCTGTCAATTTATAGGAAATATGGTCACATCCAACAACATAAATTATTACATTTAAAATAAATCTCAGAATAAAAATTAATATCTTTAAAACAAAATCTTAATATTTTTAAATGTAAAAATCTCCATAAGTAAATATTGTATAGGTTTTAAAACAAAAACAATTAGCTATTCGTTTGTAACAGGTCCTGTATTAATTGGGTCACAGTAAGGAACAGCGGAATCAGCAAATATTTTATTTGTATAATATATATGGCAGGGATTACTGTTTCCAGACAGTTTTTCTCTTGTAAAGCTAAGTGGCATTTAAGAGCATTTACTGTACCTTCGTACAACAATGCTAATGTAAAAACCTTAATTTTGAAGAGAGCGTCATGATGTGCTACTCACAAGGATGTTCTGGTAAGGTCCTTTTTGTTTAATTACTATTTTTTTTACAACATACGTAGTTATTTATACTTTATTATTGATACATCAAATTATTTTTTTTAATTGGATTTTTATTTCATTATGAAAGATAGTCCTAAATGTAATAATTCTTTTATCCCATACAAAAGGAGTTTTTGACAATGTATTATAATAACATTAATAATACTCCCTATTCACCCTCTTATGAGTGAATTTTTAACCACATGAGCAGGGTAGGGTTGACTATTATATTTTTTGTAGTGACGCTGCGGGTCGCCTTATATTGTGTCATTTCACTTACAGATACAAAAAACCCCACCCACCATCATAGACACAGTATACATTCATTGATCAAAGGAACATATATTTTCTAGATTTGTATGTTAACAGCTCCATTTATGATTATGTTAGGTAACTCACTATAAATGTGCATTATTTTTATTACTTGTTACCTTTATTTTCTTCTACTCTTCTTTTAACAGCCCCAGTACTACTTATAGCCAGAACAGGCAAAAAATGTGGGTCCTTAAAATATATTTCATGAATGTCGTTATAATAGGCCCAATAGCTGTTGAAATTTCCTGTTGCATTATTGTCAGTTCTAATTTTATCATATGTTTTTTTTTTTAAATTTCTCCATTTCTGGTCACATTGGTCACCAGTCTTACATATATTGAAAATTATTAGTTTTTTACTAATTAAATCCCAAACCTGTTTCTTACTAAATTGTGGCGATTTGAACTTTAATTGGTTTTCTTTTTAAATGGTAATCAATAATTTTACTGCAGCTGCACTCCGTACTTCTGCATTCTGGGTTGTCAGGGTTTGACTCTGGGTTTCTGTATGTTCTAAATCATTAATTAGACTACCAGAGGTGACTGTGGCGGTCAGATTTTGCTTATTGGAGGGCTGTCTATTTTTTTCTGGTGATGTATTCTTCATCCCTCGACCAAGAAGCACCTTCCTTTCCAAATCTAAATGCAAGTCATCATATTGTTCAAGACAATAATGATTAATCGAAGATGATCTCATTATGTCTCTTAAAAGTCCCATGGGCTGCTCACAATACCCACAGGATAAAAAAATATCTTCATGTAATTCTCCTTCCTACAATAGATTGCAAAATACATATTTGATTATTAAAAATAAAATAAAAACACTTACCATAATAAAAAGCACAGTAACAAAAAAAAAACAATATAAAATATAAATAGAAAATCTGAGACGTCCTCTGATCTGATCACAGAACACTTGATCTGATGATTAATTTCAAATTTCTCAAACGATTCTCAAATGACAGATAAGATTATTTATTTGACATTCGACTTTGGTATTTTTGGTAACCGTAAATTTTATATCGGTTAGTGAAATGACGTTTGTGTTACCATTTTCAGGCAACCGCGTCTCTAATTTAAACGGTATTTCAGGAATGTCTAGAGAGCGGTTAGTTTTGAATCGATATTTCGGTTAATAACGGACTTCACTTTTGTGACAGATTGACATTCGACTTAATGGTAACCGTAAAAATATAGCGGTTAGTGAATTGACATTTGAGTCACCATTTTCAGGTAACCGCGTCCCTAATTTAACCGATTTTTCAGGAATGTCAAGTAGAGCGGTTAGTTTTGGACCGAGTAACCGATTTTTCGGTTAATAACAGACCATACCCTAAGTGTAATTCAAATACATTTTTTTACTCTTTTTCTTGTGACAAAACCCACCAACTGCTACAAAATGTTCCAAACTGAGGTGAACGCACCTCCTCTCTTGACATTTGACAGGTCAACGTCTTCAAGTGTCGCTTGTCACCACTGTCATATGGACACGGTTAAACAATATTAATAAAAATGAATGTATAAAGCAATTTAAATTTGAAAATATTACTAATAGTAATAATTATGATTTAGCAAGTTGTGAATATCCTGAAATATCTAATTTTGGGAGCGAGGATGACTAAAAACTTGTTGGATATGTTTGTGGACAGTAGGTAGACTTTTTTCTACAATTATAATGTAGAAAAAAACCTTCAGTTTTTTCCTTTGGCCTTTTGCGTTTAACCTTTTTCATATTAACTATTGTATTCTAAATTTAAATTTCAATATATTTTCCACAGTCACCCTCTATTTGTAAATTTTTTTAAATTTTAACTAATTTGTTAACTTTTTTCAACTGTACTCAATGCGAATAGTGAAGGTGATATAATTCCTTTTAGGGGCTTATCCAACACTCACTATTCCCAACACTGGGTTATGTCACTCTGTTTGTTATCTTTTAATTGTTAATTTGTTCAAAATTACCTTATATATATAATTTTAACTTTTGACTTAAAAGTCTTACTCAGATTTTAATGTTTCACATATTTATAAATTTTAAGTTTACATCCACAATTTTTGTAGATAAGCACTGATGATGGCACAATGCCGAAAACGCTTTGCATTTATTAATTAAAAAGTTTTGCACGAAATACAAGTCTTTCCTTTTGAATCTAAACTACGTGCACACAGCTGTCAACCTTTTTTGGTTATTTTATTTTTTTGAATCAAGTTTCTATAGCGTTTCTATTTTTTATTATTAGTGGTTACAAGTGTTCCTGGTGTTTCGAGTTTTAATAGTTTATGTTAGGTCATTCAAATAGTGTTGGTAGATATTTTATTATTAGTGTTTGGTTTGGACTTTTATTAGTTTAGGTTAAGTTATAATGGAAAAAGAAATTAAAAGATGTGTCAATTTTAATAGTCGTGAAAAAGATATTTTATTATCTTTAGTTCAGAAATATGTTAAATGTTTAGAAAACAAAAAAACCAATGCAGTGGCCTGGGAGTTTAACTCAAGTCAAACGAGTGGTTTCAGGACAGGTATGCAGTTAAAAAATCGTACGAGCAAATAAAGCTTGCTACATTTTGTTTTGAACTTTTTTTGATACTAGATTTTTTTAGCTTGAAGTTTTTAAAACTGGAGAAGGCAATTACATGATGACAAAGTTTTAAGTATGTTGGGAAAATTTTTTTTCACAATTCCAAACAATTTTGATTCGAACACTGAAGAAAATGTGGCTGGACCAAGCCGTATTCAACCAATAATGGTGGATCTTGGAAACCGAAATGAGAATATAATGGTAATTTACAAGGAGGATGAAGTTAAAACATTTTTAGAAAATGAAGAAATAAATACATTTAAATAAAACGGAACCTAAAAAGGAGATTAAACGAACTGTTTAAACGGAAATCGTTGAAGATGAACCAGTACCAAAAAAACAAAAAATTGATGATGCAAAAACAACACAAAAATATAAAAAATCATTGCCAACTTTAACAAAAAATAGACTAGAAATTAGTGAAAAGAAATTAAATATCCTGAAAATTATGGAGAAAACAAAAAGAGAAAATTTAAAAGGAAAAAAGTTGATAATAAAATTAAAGAAATAATAAAAGAAAGGGAATTATTACATTTAAAAAAATAAAATTCAACGAACTTAATGTAAAAAATTCGTACCTCATTGTTTAAATAGTAATATTTTTTTTAAGATTTTACTTATATGGTTTGTTAATAAAAAGATTTAAAAAAAATTATTTATTAATAAAAATATACATACTACAAATTTTAGACCAACTGCTATTTGTTTTTGATAACATACTATCAAAGCACTTGTAAATTTTTAACTCAGATCGAACCACCCCACACTTAACCATAATTTTTTAAATTCATATAAAATTTAAAACTATATATCATAATACAAACGAAAAACTACAAATAATAAATAAAATGTCCTGTATGCCTAAATTATTATGAAAAAACTGTATTAATAAGTGTATCCCTGGTTGCTGAATTTTCATGGTTTTGAGGATGACGTACATCATAAGGGACAATTCCTATTTTTCCCAATCATGTTCTGCAATCAGCTGCTCATCTATATCATCTTTTTCTTCCAAGCAGATGTTATGCCAGACAGCTACTGCAACAATTATTTGGCATACCAGCTCTTTATCAACTCTCATGCCCATTGATAAACAAGGAAATCTTCTATTTCAGACACCAAACAATCTTTCTACTGGATTTCTTGTTTAAATTTAAGCACTGTTAGCTCGTGCTACTACATCATTAATTTTAAGATTAGCATCACAAACAACTTGAATATTAATACTAAACCAACCCATTCTATTTCTGTACACTTCTGGTACATTTCCTCGAGGCGATTGTATTTTAATGTGTGAGCAATCGAGAGCTCCAATTATTCCTGGCAGTCCTCCAATATTAAAAATTTCTAAAACATTTTCTCTTTTTCCCTCTTCTATTATGGGCATTTTGACAAATTGTGGACGCAATGCAGCTATTTATCTTGTTACTTTGGTCACAATTCTCGGTACAGTTGACCGAGAAACATTAAAATGGTCAACAATGTTTATCTGGAAACTGCCTGTGGCATAGAACCTCAGACAAATTAATATCTGGTTTCTTTTCGAAATTGGAATATTTTTATTGTTCGCTGGTTGTGAGAAATAAGGGACCTTTTCTTTAACCCTTACTCTTAATCCCTACTACTCACATATGGCTACCCTCACTCCAAATTTAATTTGTGATGCGATATTTTTTGACGAAAACGATATTTTGTACGATAATTTTTAGAGGTTAAGCCGATAATAATCTACTTGGCATCTAGCAACACGGCTTTATATGACCAGGTTCCGATGCCGACTTCTAGTAAATTTGATGATAGTGATCGTGACCCGGATTTCGATGAGTCACCAAGTGCTAGTAAGGATAATGATTCCTCAGACTCAATTGGAGACGAAAATAATGCAAATTTGTCAGTCGTCTATTTACAATTTCCTTTATTTTTAGGTAGAATAGTTTGGAATATACCTTACATATCAAACATTCAAAACCTAATCTACAACGAAAATAACGAGTTAGTAGAAATTAATCCGGATATTACCAAGACTTTACACGATGGAGAACCAATTTTGTAACGTTTACTTTTGACTTGCCGTTCTTTTATTGGGATTATTATTAGATTAGAATGATTATAGTGTAAGCTCACCTTGCCAAGAAACAAAACAAAGGTTAAAAATGTTCTCTAGTGTATATTTTACTATCTTAGTTATTTTTGTATATAGTAATTGGTACTTTTCTTGGGTTTCTTGTTCTAATATAGATGTATTACTGTATATGGCTCCTGGGGAATGTAAATTATGTATGGATTTAATCACTATACTTGGTATATTAGCTGTAGGGCAGTTTAATTATCTACCACATTTGTTAGCGCTTATTTCATCAAATATCCTAAAAAAAAAGGTATTTGATTTAATTACCATCTCTTATTAACCATTATATCTTTAAGCAAGTAACTGGTTCTTGTGAGGCTTTGAAAATAGTTTCTTTCTGTATACTTCCAGTGTAGGATATGTCGGAAATTCACTTAGTGCGCTATTTAACTTGTAGTTGCTTAGGCCTGGAAAGATATTTATTAATATTATGTAGTATATTTACTTCCAATCTTACCGTCGTGATTAAGCTTAAATCCCCAAGGAATCTGTAGTTATTCATTTTTTTTTGTCCGTGTACTGTTTACAAATCGAATTTACTTACGACAACATGTGTTTGACGGTTGACGTCGAACTTGTCATGTCAGAGCGCGATGATTATTGATTTTCGGCCACAGATGTTAGAACGTACTAAACTGGCTACGCTCGAATATCTTGGTATCTTGTGACTTGGGAAAATTATTTCCATACAGGACATATTGTATTTAGGAATACTTTTGTAATATATAGTTAGGTATTTCTAGGGGTCTTGAATCATATTGATGAACATCCGATTCGATAAAGTTATTTAGTAACCACCGCCGATTCGTGACGTCAGTGGTTTCTTTTTCTGTTGTTGATAAGGCAACACTGCGTACGCAAAAAGTCATCTGATTCTTACTGACCAGCATCGGACGGCCTCTTTCTTGAAAAAACTGTGGGGCTTTGACACTCTTCACCCGTGGGGCTTTAAGAAATTCTTCCCGTGGGGCGTTAAGGATTCTTCACAAAAGAAATCCAGTAAGCCTATATTCAATTTAATATTTCAAATTTAGTTAATTTAAGCACTTAATGCTGATGTAGTAATCCTTCGGATCGCAGAACACTTGGACTGCTTCCACGTTTAAGTTGTTAATTCTTCAGTTATTAAGGGCTACTGTCATAATTTTACTTTTTCAATTTATTCATTATTAAATGGACCAGACTTAACGAATACGTTAAGCAATCTCAGAAGACCCGGGTGGGGGCAGAGATTTAACAACCTCTTCCTATTTATAGGAGCTTTAAAGTATATCAACGGTGTCTGAAGTCCTTTGCGTATTTTTCATTTATTATTTTTTTTTTAAATAATCACTTAATGCTGGAGTAGTGATTCTTCTAGTTGCAGAACATCTGGACTGCTTCTACGCTTAAGTTGTAAATCTTCAGTTATTAAGAGCTACAGTCAAATTTAACCTTATTCTTCATTTTTATATATTTTTTTTTTTTTTTTGTGATAAGACAACGTATAAGTTAAGCAATCTCAGAAGACCCGCGTGGGGGCAGAGATTTTACAACCTCTTCCTATTTATGGGAGCTTCAAAGTATACCAATTTTGTCTTAAGTCCTTTGTGTATTTTTTCTTATTACTTTAAAATATATTGCGGTCCAGCATTACATGCTGCGAATTTATATAGGTACGGGTATGCCTATGGTATATATTTAAGATTGTTGAAAGTCTTTATAGGGTGTATATTTAATTATTGTTTGCAATTTATATATGGCGTCATTTGATAACTTTGCAAATTTGTGTACGTTATTTAGTTGGTTATTATAAATTCTGTTATATGGTAAGATACGTGTAAAAGGTAGAAATTAATATTTTACAGGTTTTTCACCCTATTCTACCTCACTCTGTCCTTTGCTCTGGTACCACAGCCAATGACTTACCATGCCATCCATTGATGGAATTATAAATATTTTTTTGGGTTTATGCATATACATACATATATGAGTTAATTTCTTACCTTATTTATTAGTTATTAGACCTTTGATAGGTATTGATACCTTTTTTATGGTATTATATAATTCATCATATACCTGGCTTTATTTTTTTTTTTTTAACTTTAGTATTGTGTGTTCATTATGAACCCTTTTTAGGGGTTTTCTTTATTATTTGTAAATTTGTTAAATTACATTTTATCAGGTAATTTTTTTTATATAAAGGAAACAAGTTGAGGTTGATCTTTTATTGCTTTCCTCATTTACGGGGTTAGTGGGGGAATATTTGAACTGTTTGGCCAATAATTTAACTCCGTTGGCGCCCTTTTTAATTTATCTACTATTTCCGGAATTTTAGCTACCCACTCCCTAGCTATCGTCAGAGCGACGTCGAAGGCCTAAAGGTTGACACCGGAACAACCGAATCTTATGTAACCGAGTAGGTAAAGTTTTGTAGTTAATTCTTTAATAATTTTTTTTTAAGTTTAAAATTTTGGTGGAATCGCCGAGTTCATTTGGTAGGTTACAATTTAATTTTTTAGATTATTCTTTGATGAAAATGTTTTTAAACTAATTGTTTAAAAAATAAAACGCTACGCTCTTCAACAAAAAACTCGCCTAGAGTTAAAGAAATTCCAGAGTGCAAAGCTGGATTTCCAAAAATAGTAAGGACTTTACAAAACGGGACGTCAATTTAGTGAACTGTAAATAGTATTAGAACATAGTTTCAATCGCGGTTATTCTTCAAAAAAATTATTTTTAAGTTGGAAGGATCACCTGAAAATTCAGAAAGGAAAATATAACAGTTTGCTCCGCTTGATATTTATGAAGCATTAATTTTAAAACGGTGTCATGTGTGTTGCCTAATGGTGGGTAACATATAATTTTAATAGGTGTAATCTGTGTTGCCTACCTTTTCAGTTGGCTATTCGCGATTCAAATTAATTTTCGCGCGCTTGTCACTTGTCACCTATAAGTAAGATGTTTGTTTGTTTACTATTTACATTATTTGTGTACGTTTTGGGAGGCTTTTGTGATTGTGATTTTTTAACTGTTTTGTTAGATAATATTATCATTATAATAGTGTTTATTGGTGTTCTTCAGTTTAATTTTAAGTTTTGTTTCTGTGCTTCGTTTTAAATATATTTTTTATCATGTCTTTAAGACTTACTTTATTAGAACTTTTCAGTTACTTAGATTCTAAACCAACATCTAGAAATGTTTGTGAGGGTGAACGCTTACTAAACGCCGGACACCTTTTATTATGCGGTTTAAAGGAAATTTCAGGTATTGTTTATTATTGATAAACTTAAATTTAAAATCTAAGTATCCTTATTCTTAGATTCTGAAGTTAAAATTGTGGCACTTTGTCTGCAGACGTCAGGTATAACTTTGGCACCACATCAGTTAGATGGAGAATGTACGATAAAAAATGGTGAAGTTAAAGTGAAGAAATTCATCTGTAGTTGCAAAGCTGGCTTGGGAGGAAAATGCAAGCACACTTCATCTGTATTATTACAGTGTACAAGGTTGTATTATACAAATTTAAATGTGCTATATCAGGCCTACTCGATTGAACTCAGATTATTGTCCATTCATTATTTTAGTTCTTTTTGCTGTGTGTTTTCTTTTGTTGTAGGGTTAATATTAATGAACTACCAAAAATCATCTACAGATGTAAAATGTATTTGGACTAAAAAGAAGGAGGCATCCATCGAGCAATATAAACCAGAGCCCTTAAAAGATTTTAAATGTTTAAAGTTTGTTTTTTGATCAATATTTTTTAACTGGTATGTAAAATAAAAAGAAAATATTTTCAAATACATTTTAAATTTTGAAAACATTTATATTGTAGATATAGTCCAATACCATGTGTCAGTGAGGAACGAAAGAAGCTGTTTAGAAACATGTTAATGCCCTATGCTCCAAATTCTTGCATAAGTATCCACAGGTAATTCATATTCTTATTGGAATATCACCAATCATAAGTTTCATTTGTTATTTTTGATAATTATCAATAAAATAATATTTTAGACAGAGGTCAAAAGCAAGACAGGAGCAACAATTGACATCCACGAATATATTTCCAGCAAGTAATACCCGACAATATATTTTTGATTTATTTCAAAATGCAGGAAATTCTGTTTACTTGAAACTTTTAGACAATATTTGTACCATGCCTTTGAGGGAATGTTGTCAAAAGTTTTATGCAAGCAAAATTCAATGGATCAGTGGGGTATTACTATGCCAGGAAACGATGGATGATCCCAAGAAGTGGCAAATGGAGAGGAAATTCCGCATTACAGGTTCAAGATGCTATGGCCTGTATACATATAATGGTAGTGACTGGAATCTAAAAAGTTGTAAATATTTTTGGCCAAAGTCATTTTCGTCAGTGTATATTAAGCATGGACTTGCTTATGAAAATGAAGCAAGAAATATTTACAGTAGTAGGTTAGGTTATACTGTTGTACAAACCGGCCTAGTAGTCCTCCCAAAGTATCCTTTCTTGGGATATTCACCTGACGGACTGGATTTAAAAAAATGGACTACCTTGCAAGTTGTTGGAAATAAAATGCCCTTTTAAAGGTAAATATAAATTTATTATATTAGGAAATACATGGGATTCTGGTTAATACTTTATAATATAATATGTTTAGTCTTATATTAATTTAGACTTGTTTTTGATAACATGGATAACAAAAAGTAGTCGCAATGTTCTTAACATTAGATATCGATAATGTCACGACCATAATACGTAGGAAAGCATGTCACTCTAAGGAGCTGGTTGATTACTTGTTTCAATGCCACTCATCGTTCAGCAGTTACCACTGACTCCGTTAACATTTATCATAGCAGATTTATAGTGGGCATGTGTTATGATTTTGTTTAATAAACTCTGCATTATTTTAAAACATTATTGCACATTATTATTATCTAATTTAATCTATTTCAATATACTGAGAGATACTTTTTAGTTTACCGAGACATTATTAATTTAATTATATTTGTCTCCCAGCTTCTTGAAGACGTGATATGCCCCCCGACAATTAAAGCCTGACCTAGGCTTTTTCCTTAAGATTAATGATTATCTAGTTAATAAGAAAACATTCTTTTCCACATATACTACCTAACATTCAAATTAATAAGAAACCTACTTTAGTTGCAGCTTTCCTATGGATGTGCAATAATCTAACAATATATTCTACGTATTACTCAAGTATTTCAATATGATTTTGTAAATACCCTATGTAGCTGTGTCAACGTTTCTCAATGATGTTTATCCCTTTTTATATAATAATAAAATATTTCGTTTAGTTAACTGTATTGTCATCACAATTTTTGTTTTAGGGCGTGATATGACAGCAGCAGCCCTCATCCAAAACTGCGACTATTTAAAAATAGAAAATGGTTTTCTTATTTAAAAAAAAAAACACCCATATTATGGACAAATACAATTAGGGATGGTATTGCTGAATGTGGCAGAATGTGATTTTATAGTTTAAGCTCCATTTGACAAAACCTTCCTTAATATAATTGTATATTTGGTTGTCAATTTTGTAGAAGATTTGTTAAAAAAACTTTGTATATTTTACAAAAATGCTGCATTCAATATGTTTAAATAAAAATAATTATTAAATTATTCTGATTCAGTTACCATTGGTTTTAATTATTAATTTTATGTAAATTTTTAATATTAGACTTAATTTTTGCAAAATTTTTCTGAACTATCACTTATTAGATAATAAATTTTTAAATTTTATAAACCATCAATAAGTTGAGTTGCCTATTTTAAATATTTCTGGGAAAGAGCTTAATTTTGAAAAATATACTAACTAAACTAGGGCAGAAACATGTGTTGAAATTGAAACCGATCAAAATAAAAGTAACATTCAAAGGGAAATTAATAATAAAGATATAAAAATAGAGAAAGTTAAAACTGAACTAATAGGTAATGATGCAAATAAGCTTTTAACTCTTTTAACTGAATTTAAAGATGTAGTTGCTAAAAATATGAATCAGTTGGGTATCACAGATAAAATTTCCATGAAAATTGAACTAATTTCAGATAAACCCATTTACTATAAACCATACAAATTATCATTTCATGAGAGATGTCAAATCAAAGAAATCATTGGAGAATTAAAGGAAGTAAACATAGTTGAGGATTCGGTATCCGAATATGCTAGTCCTTGCTTATAGTAAAGGAAAAACAGGTGACGTTAGACTATGCATAGACTATAGGGCTTTAAATAAACTGACAGTTAAGGATCACTATCCATTGCCGCGCATAGATGATCAGTTAGATTTATTGTATAAAAAAATATAATTTAGTAATTTAGACTTACGAAGTGGTTATTACTAAGTTCCCATGGATGAGCAATCAAAGGATAAAACAAGTTTTATCACTCCCGATGGTCTGTATCAATTTAAACGTTTACCATTTGGTTTGTGCAATGCACCGTCTTTATTTCAAAGGTTAATGAATTTAATTTTGGGTAAACTTAAACATTCTAATGCATTGTGTTATCTAGATGATACAATAATAACGTCTGAGACAATAGAAAAGGGACTGAAATACTTAAGGGAAGTTTTAGTAATATTGAGGGACGCAAATTTAACATTGAGATTTGATAAATGTAACTTTTTTAAAGAAAAAATTGATTATTTAGAATTCGAAATTAGCGAAAGGGGTATAGCTCCGGGAAAATTAAAAACTAATTGTATCACAAACTTTCCTCGACCTACAGATTTAAAATCGGTTAGAAGTTGCATTGGACTAACAAGTTACTTTCGGCATTTTGTTAAGGGGTTTTCGTCAATCACAAAGCCACTTAGTGACTTATTAAGAAAAGAAGAAATTTCATTGGGATGATGCTCAAGAGAGGGCGTTTATTGAAATAAAGAAACTCCTGAGTGAACAAGCAATTTTGTGTATATATAATCCATGTACAAGAACTGAACTGCATACTGATGCATCATAGTCAGGTTTGAGCGGAATCTTGTTGCAGGTGCAACCAGATAAAAGATTACATCCTGTTAGTTATTACAGCAGAAAAACGACACAGGAAGAAGCGCGCTATCATTCGTATGAATTAGAGGCCCTAGCCATTGTAAATTCTGTGGAACGTTTTAGAGTCTATCTGATAGGTATACATTTTGTAATTCGAACAGATTGTAATAATTTAAAAATGTTACAAAACAAACGAGACTTAAATCCACGTATAGGTAATTATACTATAGAATATCATTCATCCTCACTAAATGCAGTAGCACATTCTTTAAGTAGATATCCAGTTGAAAACAGTAAAGAAACAGACCTCATAGGTTTACCTGTATTACATATTAATGTTTCGACAGATTGGATTGCCGCTATGCAGCGACACTCTCCCGAAATAATGTCAGTTTGTGAAAAGTTGGAAAATGCAGATCAGGAAACACACAAAAGGTTCACATTATGTAGTGAACGGGTTTATAGATTGAAAAATAATAAAATGAGGCTGTTTGTTCCAGATGAGTTGCGTTTTGATGTTGTGAGCGAAGCTCACAGAAATATTAATCATTTAGGAATAGATAAAACACTCGAGAAAATAAAAGAAACTTATTATTTCCCGAAAATGCGAGAAGTGGTAACCAAATATGTAAATCGGTGCATTAGTTGTATCTATCATAAGACTCCGAATTTTAGAAAGGTCGTACATGATTCCATACTGTACATTTAGATCACCTAGGACAGTTCTCTTGCACAAAAAACGAAAATCGGTATATATTAGGTTTAATAGACGGATTTTCAAAGTACTCTGTACTAAAAGCGGTAAAAGATACGACTTCTTCTGAAAGTGTCAGTTTTATGTTAGAATTTATTTCCCATTATGGAAAACCATTTAGAATAATCATAGACCAACGTTCTGCTTTTACGGCAGGCTGTTTTGAGAAATTTTGTAAATAGCATTTTATTACCCATGTTCGAATAGCTGCGGGTACTCCAAGGGGAAACGGGCAAATAGAGAGATTAAATAAAACAATTCTTTCTTATTTATCGAGTAGTATAGATTGTGAATCAGAAGATGGGAAGTACTGTTGGGACGACAAAATTTTTAAAATTCAGTGGAGTCTGCACACTGCAGTATATAGGGTAACAAAACTTAAGGTGGGTTTAGCCAGCTCTTATTGCATAATGCATAACTCTAATTCACAATTGATAATTATTAAAACTTAAAAATTAAATACATGTGTTTATACATCGCATAGTGGATAATGTATAATTTAGTAGATAGTGGATAATTCACAAAGTTGGCCAACTTTTAACTTTTATACATTACTCATTATGAATTGTGTACAAAAAGCTAAAGCGCGTGCGCAAATGTTCCATTGTTGATTATTTTCAAATTTATAACCTTAAAATCTTATTTGTTTACTTTTTATTGTTTGCTATTTTTTGGTAATGGTTGTAGATCTTTAATTGATATTTTCGCAAAGGTATACTTACATATTGATAACATTTTAACATTGTTGGGTTTGGTAGTTTGTAATTAGGATTTCTAATTTACAACTTGGGTTTTTTCTACCTGTTTGCAAATAAAATGTTATTACCTGTCAGTTGCTGATTTTCAGTTGAAGTTTGGTTTTTGTGAGAATAGTGTTTGGTCAATATGAGCTTTGAAGAAGGAATTTTAATAGAGAATGTTCAACATTTTCCAGTCATTTGGAACACTAAAGATAAGGAATATCGCAACCTATTGGTTGTGAAAAATGCATGAAGAACCATTGCGGCTATATTAGAAGAAAGTTACTTTACTTCTTTTCCCATCCCAAAACATAGTATCTGTTTTCTCTACATCAAAACACAGTACATACCAGATGCTCCGTTTTGGCAAGTGACAACAACTAAAATTTTGTACTCACTACAGTTACTAACTGCAAGATACTGTGTTTTGTCACCGAATTGTCAGTTGTTCTGCAAAAAGTATTGCGTTTATGTTGTGTGCGGCGTGATTACCAGTTTTTTGTTTAAATATAGTTTAAAAACGTTCAAATAATTATGAATCGTGGAAAATTCATAGTGAACATGTGTCTAAAAAAGCAGTAAGTATATTAGCGTTCTTTTATAATTTATAAATTTGTAGAAACAATTTCATAACCTCACTTTTTTGGTATATTTACCATTTAGAGTACACCAAATTTAATGGTGTATTCCTAAGATATTTTTCTGAAAAAAATTATAATAATCTTAGGTCCGTAAATGCGTAATTTTCAAAATACAGGTTGTTGAACTTTTTTAAATATTTTTTTACTAGTATCATAAAAAAACTGTTTGTCGATTTTGTTGAAATTTGGAGTAATAATGGGGTTATTTGGCTTTAACTAGATTAAAATTGTTAAGCTCAGTGGCGTCCTAGAGTTGCTTTGTTTTCTTAAATAATATTAGATATTTTCTTGTTTCAGAAGTCAAGAAATAGCCTTACAAAATAATGAGCTACAAGAAGAAATGGATGTAAGCAACTTCGAAAACGAATCAGCCGATGCATTTAGTGATGATAGTGTTGCCGATATCGATTTTAATCCTGATCTTGACGATTCCAGTAATAAATTACGGATGATGATTCGCAGCCTTAACAGTTCACCCGAAGCTGAGCAAGGAACAATTTCCGATGTACAGAAATTGGATAACTCAGTTTCTAAAACAGCAGCTGTTATTGCCCCTGACATTCAGCCTCCTGTTAAAAGACGGCAGAAAGAAAACCAAAAATATAAACGTTTAACGAAAGAAGAAAAAGTTGCTCGTGACAAAGAAAAACATCCCATAAAAGCACCGTGCTCAGAAAAATGTGCTAAAAAAATGCGGTTCTACGTTTTCTGAAGAAGAACGATTTGAAATTTGGGAACAATATTGGTCATTAGAATACAGTTCCAGGCGTAAATGGTTGGCTAAAAATGTCCAGATAGTACCTGTGAAGAGAAGAACTACTGTACCAGCCAATCCGGACACAGGCTTCGCAAAAGGTGATAGTCGCAAGTTTTTTTTACTTAAAGAATGTAAAAGTCAATGTGTCTGTCGCAAGTTTTTTTTTAAATTCTCTTGGGTATTCCAATGATTCCGTTATCACTGAATTATGCGCCGCTATGAAGAAAAGTCCTTTGCTGGCTGCTGTAAGAGAAAATAGGGGTACCACTGGAAATTATAAAAGAAAACGGGAACGAACTGTTATTATGAACCACATCAATAAATACAGGCCCTGTATTACCCACTATAGACGACACAATGCACCAAATATGAAATACTTACCGAGGGACTTAACGATTAAATCTATGTTCAATGATTTTCAACGTGAAAATCCTGGATTCTGTAAGATTGAGTTGTATAGGAAGACCATGAAATTAATGCATATTTCTTTATGCATGCCCAAATCTGACGTTTGTGTTGACTGCGAAACTTTCAAGAATCAGTCAAAGAAAAACATTGAGCTGAATGTTGAAAATGAGGCAAAATGGAATATCCACAAAGCAAAGGCTACAAAAGCCAGTTTAATATCAGATGCTGAAAATATCAGAATATATTCCATGGAT